AGGTGGTGCAGATGAAGTTGAGTTCCTGGTCCTCAGGCAGGCTGACCCACTGCTGACCTCCTCTAGACTGCACTGCTCCAGTTCTCTCTACAGAGCTGCAGTCTTCTTCTCCGGTCCCGTTATCTGGAACCCAGTTCTGGTAGCAGATAGACTCTCCACTCACCCAGAACCAGAAGCTGAGGGTGCAGGTGTGACGCAGACCCAGCCACACATGTTCAGTGGAGGCTTTCTGTGCCACCTCCTTCACCCAGAGCTGGATCTCCTCAGACTGAACTGAGACCAGATCCACATGATGATCTCTGCAGTATCTCAGAGCTTCTCTCCAGGTCAGATTCTGATTGATCAAGATCAGCTTATCTGGGAAACAGGAAACTGGATAATCTAGACATCCCAGTGTCATCAAAGGGTTTTGCAGTAAACACAATGTCAAATATAAATAAAAAGGTAAAATAACAATATTTACAACCAGGGTTGGGAGGGTTACTTTAAAAATGCATTCTGTTACAGATTGCTGATTACCTGTTAAACTGTAACCTAATCCAAAGGATTACGGATGTAATCTGATTATTTTCCATGACTTTTGGATTACTTGAATCTAATTAAAGATGTATAACTAAATTAAGAAAAGAACAATACTTTTTAACAAAAATTCAGCTTAACACATGCCAAACACAAAAACTGCACTGTTATGAAACTGAATGATAAACTTTAGGTGACTTACATGTTGTGCCTCACAAAAACTGTCACTGATCTCACATTTAGAGAAATGGCCAAATGTAAGAGGAGCAATATATGAAAGTCTTTGAGGATAAAGATGAAAATTTGTATAACAGTACAATAAGCTTTGAGCATAGATGACTAAAAGTTCTTAGACTAAAACACAGGGGAACAAGTAATTGATGTAGAATGATCTAGTACATTGAATCAAATGCAATATAATTTAAAATAACAATTGTCATTCTAAAACTCTGACTGCCCATCATGTGTGTTCTATCTTCTAAAAGGCAGTACTGGCTCATAAGGTTTCATGTTGGTGTGTTGTGCTTGGACTCTGAAGATGGTAATTTGTCGACCCTCCCTAATCAGCTCTCAGCAGTTTTAGGAGTTCAGACAAATCAACTTGTCCTATGAGTTTAAAAGGCATTAATTTCACACAAAAGCTAAGAGTGAGCTGATTGTCTTAGTTGCAAATTATGATAATTTTACGCATATTAACATTTTACAACCATCATTGAAAAACCGTTGAAGAAAGAAACCACCATGTGAAAACAAAACTAAATTTGCATTGTTGCATGTATTCTGTTACTACCCAACCCTGTTTAGAACACTACATACATACAGACATTGTTGAAGAAGTGAACTACAACTCACTCTCATAACAGATGAATGGGAGCTGGTTGTCGCACTTCTCATTATTCCACTGGTCTTTCTCAGTCAGCAACACCGCAGCACACTTTCCACCTTGACCATAATTCTCTGGACCAGACATCCAGTACCTGAATGAAGAGTTGCTCTGATCTGACCACTTCCAGGAGTCGTTGAACAGGCCAATCCAAATATGATAAGCAGTCAAATAGTTTTTTGAAATATTAAAGATCTGCTGGTTCTCAGTCTGGTTCGTCACACTGGCCAGGTCTGTGTGATGTTCTCTACAGTAGCTCTGAGCTTCTCGCCGGGTCCTCGTTTCATTAATGAATACGTATCTTTCAGCCTTTGTCTTCTTTTCTTAAAAAAATTCATTACATTATTAATGTCAGTTACTTTTATTATTGCCTGCCCTCATAACCCACAAAACGAGACTAGACAGCAATAACAATGACAACAATGCACGCAATATCAAATCAGATTTCAGTATTTTACGAAGGATAATTCACTCATTAATGTGTATCTAGAAGTTCTTACCATCATAACAGACGAAAGTGAACAAACTGCTGCAGTGATCATCCATCCAGGTTCCATCACCTTTAAACATTGCAACACAGTACTGGGTCCCATTCAAAGGACCATTTGGTTCCCCACTTCTCCAGTTTCTGTACGTGCTCCCCCCTGTGTAGACATTTCCATCTGCCAGAGACCACAGCCATTCCCCCTTGTCCCCTCTGACAAGGCCGATCCAAACAGAGCTGCTGAGTATGTCATTCAGATGTTTATTCAGAGTAGCATTGAGCTTCTTCATCTCCTCCATGTTGTTGATGGTGGCCAGATCAATGTAGTTCTGTCTGCAGTAGCTCTGAGCTCCAGTCCAAGTTTTACTCTCATTCAAAAGGAGATACCGATGAGGAACATATGCAGCTAAATTACAGACAGCTGTGAAAAGGAAATGAAAATGTATAATAATTGGTATTGTATGGCAACAGTGTGTCTACAGTATATAGAGATCACACTTGTAACATATAACATATAATCATATAAATAAATGTAAATATATGGGCTGCTGAAGGTTTCCAGACAGTAAACATTAGTTGGAGTCTAGTTTGGTCTTGGACCAGTAAATAGACGTTGCACACTGACCTGAGAGAAGAAAGGTGATTAAAATCCATTTTAGGCCCATTTCTGAGAGAAACTGTTTCACAACCTAGACGTTTAGATCATATTTGAAGAATGAATGTCTACATTCAAAATGGCATGTAACATTTATCACAGACAAAACACTGAAAAAAAATCCATACTTACACTATAAAGCTGACGCAAAATGTTTTTTTCTTCCACTGTATTTGCATTAAAAGAAAATAAATTGCGTGTTGTGATGTTTGTTTCTGTTCTCCCTCTCCTGATGTATTGTTCATGTAGAGTATTCCCCCTCATTATGTTGGTACCTTGTGATATGCTCCTCCTCTGTTGCATGCAGTTCTACAGAGATAGCATCACAGTCTTGATTTGTATAATTAGACATTGTACAGGTATACTTCCAGTAAAGAGGAAACATAAAGCTCTTTGCATGTGGTGTATAGACGCAGGTTGATTTCCCTAACAAATAATCAACACCTCAACATCGCAGATGATATCAGCGAGATCGAATATCAAAGAGACATTTGATAGCTTTGTTGTGTCATCACAATGAAACATGTGCCACAAGGAATCTATGCCCAGTAGCATGAATATCCTCAACTTTACCCCTTAAGTAAGAATTTTAAAGTAAGATTTTTCCCATACCCAATGGAATTATTTGAGGGTGACGCGTAAATTCCTTAGGTATTTCTCTTAGGTCGAGGGAATTTTACATTTATGGCATTTAGCAGATGCCTTTTTCCAGAGCGACTTGCATGTTATGAAGTACAAATAGGTTAGAGTCTGAAGTACCCTCAAGCTAAGACACTGCCAAAGGCAAAAGCTAGTGCTGATATTTAGGAAGAACGATACAAAATACAGAATTAAGACATAGTATGAGTGTAATACAATACATTTCAGTAAGTGCTAGATTAGTGTTCATTTAAGTGCGTCACAATGAGATGGGTCATCAGTCAGTTCTCAAAGACACCAAGGGATGATCTTTAGACAAGCTAGTGTTCGATCCACCATCAGGGTGCCACGACAGAGAAGAGTAAAGGCTTGTCTTCTGTACGTGAATAACATTGACAGTGTTATATTGTTAATGGTCACTATTATTACCAGCTAAACTCACTCCACTCAGAAGTGAAATCATGGAAAGCATCTCCCAAGACAGAATCCCTAGATGCATCTCTCTATAACCCGAAGTTTTAGAAACTCATCCTTTCAAGCATGATTTCATACTGCATATTTTAAATACTTCTTGTAAAATTCAATAAAAAAATAATTAATTATTTGGTCATGCATTATAATTAATTGAACAACACAGCATCACAGGATGTTGTGGATGTCCTGTGAAATTCCCATTTCAATAGTGTTAAACAAAATTTGTCTTTTTGTGAAACATGAAGTGTGTGCTTTCACCATTGATTGCTGTCTGTCTCTGCATTGCAACTGCTTTGTCATGAACCTTCGCAGGTGAAGAAAGAGGTCACACACTCTGGGGAAGAAGTCTCCCATAAGTGTTACCCTGTACAGGATATTGTTTTATAGGTGATTGAGGGTATAAGGTTGCCAGAGTCGCTGAAGTGGAGAGAAGGTAGCTCCTCTGGGTGAAGGGAGCTTTCTGCCCTCGAAAGAGGGAATGATATCTTCAGTGACCTCGTCTCCATTACAGCAGTAAACTTTGCAGGGAAGTGAACTCCTCCTGAGTTTAGGATTAGAAACATTAGAAACATTCAAGTCTTTCAAAGACTCAATTTGGAAGAGATACTGAATTTGATTATATAGGCCTGTTACTCATAACTGTTACTCAAAACTTACATTGACATTTTTAGCTTGACCAGGGTGACCATACATCCTCGTTTTAGAGGGCATGTCCTCTTTTGTGACCTAAAAAGCCAGGATTCCTAAATTGCCTAAAATGTTCAGGATTTGGTTTTGATTTCATGTTGAATTTTGCTTTTGACAGTCACCCGAATATCCACTATGCTACCCTAATGTCTACTGTGTCCTCTTTGTTGGAAACCAAATTATGGTCACCCTAGTTTTACAAATTCTGTCTTCAGTCTTTTATGATTGGTTTTCCTTCCATAATAAAAATCCAATAACTGGTTATTTAGCAAAAATTAAGTAGGATTCAGGTTTTCACTCATTTAATGGTTACTTTATAAAATGTTTGAACTCCTCCTATAGGGTCATGCAGAAGGCACGGCAGAGCAAGGAAAAGGTTCACATACTAAATGTCTGAGTGAGAGAGAGGAAGGAGTGCCAGAGATGGAGAATCCAGAGAACGAGAAGGATCAAACAGACCTAGTGAGATAGAGGGATTAAGTGACAGGATTATTTAGGTGACAAGGCCCAGTCATGTGAAGTGGAATAGCTATCCACAGAACAGTTTTGATGCACAGAACAGGGTATTTGAGTATTGCTGGTTTGATAAATACAGATGGTTAGAATTATCTGTCAATCAAAAGGTAGCTTTCTGCTTTCCATGTAGAGTGTTCAGAAAAACATGCTGCTTTGTTTATTGTTGGAAAGCATGAGATGACATAAACCCATGAAGAGTGTGATAGCATGGCAGAGCTACCAGGTAAGTGGCAGTAATGAAAACACTGCTCAGATTATAGCATTTGCACATACAACAGAAAGGACGCAGCATCTTAGACAAATCACGGCAGTCACCTCAATGCTAGAAAGACAGGAACTGCCTTTTTGTGGCAGTAAGAAAAGTACAAACCAAGGCAATTTTCTTGCATGTATGGAACTTTTGAAGGAATTTGACCCTTTCTTACAATCCTCTGTCAAATATTACATATCTTTCTCCAGGAAAATGTAAACCACAATGGCAGATGAGGCCAGGAATGGACAGTCAGAGGAGTTGGCTGTGTTTGTTAAGGAGCGTTTTCTAGCACTAACAGAAATAAAGTAATTTGATGCACAGTCTATAACAGCTGTGTTGCAGAAGCAGCTTCAAATGAATGGGCAAACAGAGCCAAATATGTAGCACAAACATAAGATGGTGCAGCCATTTTGAGTGGGTCCAATGGAAGAGTGCAAGCACATTTTAGAGTACTTTGTGTCATGCCATACTTGCAGGCCTGTTTATGATGCTTGTTGGAAAGTGTCTATTCTTTTATTTTGGCACCTATCTAGTTAACCACCACTCAGTCCAAATTTAGATTGATATCACCTGAGCTTGTGCATCTTTCAGCCACTCTCTGGGCATGTCAGCTGTAATCCATTAATGCAGTTCTTGTCCCCCTGCTTGGACAGGATGCTCAGTGCGCTTGAACAATTTTGCAGTGAGCAATTTTCTAGTGAAGATGCAAGCCTTCTAAAAGGTACCCAGGCATGCAGCCCTAATTCAGAGTGAATCTTGAGTGATTCCTTTTTAACTGCGCTTGCTAAGCACCACAACATGGATCTCAAAACAGAAGAGGTGCTGGTGGCCAGAAGTTTTCTAGCCCACAAAACAGAGGCTGGATTTCCACAACTAGTTGTTAGCTGTGCACATCCTCCTAGATGCAGATGTTTCCCTCTCTAGAGACAGTCATTCATGTTGTCTTAACAATACCTCTTGAAAAAGGTCTTTTAGTGCACTGAACTAGCTGACCTCCTGGTTACCTAAAAAAAAATTGGCAGAAGAGATTTCAAAGTCTTGCAGTTAATTGAAAGTAAAACACCAGAGCTGCTGAGCCACAAGTCATAGACCAATTTGCCACATTCAAAAACAAGAGATGTTCTTTGATGATTCCATTCACAGTAGCAGCAGCAATCTGCTGTTAAATACTTTAAAAGCCCAAATACATGCTCTGTGAAAAATGATATATTTTCTAGTAAAAACATCTTAAATATAGTCAATATAATGTAGCATCCCACTACAGGCATACACAGGCTCATTGGAGGCACTGTATTTGCAGTGGGAAAGTCTGGCTGTTGTTCTAGAGGGGAGGGCTCCCACTGGTGAGAGAGAGCATCAGGCTTAGCATTTTTCAACCTGGGTCTGTATGACAACACAGTTGCATTGGGCAAATCATGTTGAATGATTGGCTATCATGCTACAATTCTCCAGGAATCGGTGGAAGAAGTTAGCAAAGCTCAGGAACTGCTGTACAAAGTTGGGGCATGTGGGTTGTGACAATTGGGCCACAGCCTAGACCTTGACTGGATCCATGCTCAGGCAGCTCTGTAACACTACAAATCCTACAAAGGATACTGTCTGAACATGGAACAGTAATTCCTCCAACTTTATGAACAAATAGTTCTTCAGGAGCAGCTGGAGGACCCACCAGACATGGGCTTGCAAGACATCAAGATGAGAATGTCATCCAAATAGACAAACATGTAATGATCAAGCACCTCCCTCAGAACCTTGTTATTTGCAGCCCTGGAAGATGGCTGAGGCATTCATCAGCCCAAAAGGCATAACTAAGCATTCATAGTGGCCCAATGAGGTGATGAAGGCCATCTTCCATTCATTCTCCTCCTTAAACCTGATTAGGTTATAGGCACTGTGCCAGTCCAGCTTGGTGAAGATGCCTGTTGCAGTGTCTTAAAGGCAGAGGACATGAGAGGTAAGGGGGAGCAGTCCTTAATCATGATCTTATTGAGTCACCTGTAATCAATATGGGGTGAACATCCCCGTCATTCTTCCCTACGAAGAAGAACCCTGGTCATGCTGGGGAAGTCGATGACTGGATGATACATAGTGCCAAAAACTCCTGGATTTAATCCTCCATGCAACTGGGGCTCTGCTTGTGCAGCAGATGCCTCTGCAGAATGAGGGGACTCCAGAGCTCCTTCAGGGGGATAACTCACTGTAACTTCCCATGGCAGCCCCTTGATTAACTAGGGCAACCCTTACCTGATCCATGTCAGCTTGCTCAGCTAAGTCCATTGTTTGGCTGTGTCAGTGAGTTTTACGCTTTCATTTCACTTATTATATTTATGGGCTTGGTAAAAACAATGAGTATAGCAGATTACTGGTCCCAAAAACAGACTTACGGGCTTCCATTCCCCTGCTCAATGATGACCAGCAAGAGATTTTTTTGCTATTTCAAGCAATCTGCATCTTTCTCATGCTCAGGAAGATGCAGAAAACACAAGCAGCAAAGGAACTTCAGCACATAACAGATAGACTTTCAGCATGCTGCTATTTTTTTTTTCCGTTATCAATATATTA